ATTTCCAGTCTTTTAATTTCTCTAATTGTACAATGCCTGGTCTTTTTATGTTGCTGCAACGCAAACATTTCCCAAATTGGGATCAATAAAGTACTTATTATCTTATCTTATGTACCTTCCGCTGACATTGTGAGTTTTGGACTTCAAAAGTGAGTAAATCAATAAGCAGAGAGAGAATAAGGAAGCCAAATCGAAAATATCCACTTCCTCCCAAAAGCAGAAGAGGTGATATTGACTGCCTGATCTGATTGGTCCTCCTGTTGGACCGCTGCGTACAGCAAGAGGGACATTTGACGTCCGTACTGATCTAATAACACAGTTTTGTCTTGAATCAACTTTTTTTTATGAAAAGTCATTTCCCTTTTCCTGGAATCTCAACAGAAAAAGGTTGGCCAGACTAATACATTTCTAATGCTAAATAAATGAAAACCATTCACAGTTAAGAATGAGATATTAATTATGAAAGCCTTAAATGATTGCATACATTTCATTTCTTATTTTTCCAGTGTGATAGCTAACAGAAGCTAAATCCATGTCTCTTATTATAAGAACGTACTTAGCCCACTAAAAGGATTTATTCTCAAATAACGGGGAAATTACGTTGTAAAAACAACAACTTTAACGCTCTCTCGTTCAGATGAATGTGATCGGGGTTTTTGTCTTCTTTGTGAAACGCCGATGTGTCAGAATGCTGTACATAACGGTCCAATAAGGAGGACCAACTCGAGCTTGCGCAGTGAAAATCAGGCAGAAACAGTGATCCTCCGCTGGCCCCGTACCACTGCGAGGTGAAGACGCCATAGAACAGCGTCTCTGAGGAGCTGGCGCCCTCCGGTGGTGGGAGGGTGAAGACGTGCTGCAGGACGTTGAAGGGAAGCTGTCTGGGAACCTGGCAGAGCAGCGGCGCTTTAGCGAAGGACGTCCACTTATTCTGGAGAGTCCGCTGCCCCCCCACATCGTCCTGTGGAGACAACGCAACAACGTGTTATACACTCAGATATATCTGAACCCAGAAGAACCCGGACCCATTTATACTTTTGGGGAAATTATGCGGAACATCATTTAGACTTAATAATAGATCACATCGAACACATTTCTGACAAGTAACCCCCCTACTGTTAGAGATCTGAAAAGTTACATATATGTCACATTGGGCGTTAATGGTAAAGTAATGCTTATTAATAACTTAATTAATGAGGATTGTTTTTTGGTTTAAAGGGGACATATCATGCCATATTTGAACAATATATTGTAGGGCCATACCTATACAAAGTACACATTATCCCTTACATATGATTATATAGAGTCATTATTCATTTGTTTTAAAGCTGGAGGAGCAAACGCTTGCCTCGGGGAGGGAGAGAAAGATGCCACAGCGGAGAATAAACAGAAGGGCAACCATGGCAACCATGCGGGAAGTCTTCTTCGCTGCTTTTGTGGCAGACTACAGCGCCACCTACAGGCCTGACATATGTACTACAGCGTCTCCAGCGCTTTCGAGCGGCAATGGCCGGCCGTGGCCCAATCTCTCATTTCCGTGATAGGTGGAGAGTTGACCAATAAGCGGAACAAACCTTTTGTGACATAGAAAATAATTCAAATCTGGATCAGTCTGTATCAGATCCGTTACAGCCCCTTTTTTTAGAGATTTGGGTATGGAGGAAAAGAGAGAGGGTTGTGTTTTTTGACACTTGGTGAGTTCCCTGGAACACCGGGGTCACACATTCATGTATACAAGATGTACAAGAGTGCGTTTTGCATGATAGGTCCCCTTTAAGTTTGGTTTAACATTCTTTTAATTGAAGAATATAGAATATGCAGCAACATGTTACATATCTTTAAGTGGTGTCACTCGATTCAAACACATCCCTGTAGCTTTTTTCAGAATATATTTTTAATCTTTCTCAAAATTCTTTTTTTTCCTTCAAAATCCTGACTTTTTTCTGAATACCGAAAATGTTCTCAACATTTTGAGTATTTCAAGAAATCTATTTTTTTTCTGAAAATTCTGACATTATTCCAAATTCTGCCTTTTTTCAGACTTTTTTTTCTCATAATTTCCGGTTTTTTTTTCTAAAGATTCTGAAATTTTTCAAAATCCCGAATCCCGGGACTCAATAACAAAAAGACACGATAGACAAGAAAATATACAAATAAGACGATTTAAAATACAACAAAGTTACATAAAATGTAAGACAATCTTGCACTAATGTACATTCTCTTCAAGATATTGAAGAGACTGTTATTTTGTATATATTGATTGTTGTGTTTTTATTTATGTCTTAATGTGTGCATATGTAAAAATGTGTCTTGATTGTGTATATATAGGATATACTTATTTGCACACATATTTTTTATATTTGTTTTTATATTCAGGATTGTGGGAAAGGTATTTCGATCTCTGTGTACACACAAACTGAAAGATTGACAATAAAGTTGGCTTTGACTTTGACTCAGGAGGATGTGGCGTAATCTTAAAGCAGCTCCATTATATATCTTAATATTTTCCGTCACCTTGCAGACTTGAGCGACGCGAGCGATCCGCAGCTCGTCCACAAAGCTGAACTCTTTCCCGACTTCAGTGAAGAAGAAGAACAGCTTCATGTCCACCGCCGCCGAGCCCACGAACGCCGGATCTGAAACAGGAAGTACAATTATTTTTATTTTTTTAATATTTTACATATTGAAACTTTTATTTCAGAATACATTTTTCTCTCCAAATTCTGACTTTTTTCACCAATTTCTGACTTTTTCGAGACATATGGGAGTAACACGTGTCACTTCTGGGAAAAAATTATGGCCCCGCCCACTTTTTAGGGAAACCAACGCTGTCATTGAGCGCGATCAAGCCTGAAGCCACAGAGCTCCTTTCTTCTTAGAGGAAGTTCAGAAACACTGAACTCTGGATTTGTTTTAATGTTTGAGGTGCAATAAACCACACAGCAGCTTTTTGGCATGTTAAAACAATTATTTTCCGCCTCGCTCATGAGAGTAACAGCTGGAGAAGTTAAAGCCTCGCCTACTGATTTTAATTTAACCATATACCGAGCCCGATCGTTGATTTCAAATGATTTAATGTAACTGTTTGCCCGTCCGGCCATCGTCATCGGGCTCTTTGAAGATCCACAAACCCACGGTTTTCAAAAATGTCTGATCGATTGGCAAAAACTTCAGAACGTGTATTGACCGCCGTTCAAATGACAGCGTTGTTTTCCCCCTAAAGTGGGCAGGGCCGTATTTTTCGCCCGGAAGTGACGTAGGTGTTACTCTCATCCATACCGATTTGTTTTTTAGAATAAATATTTTCTTTTCTCAGAATTCTATATTTTTCCAAGAAATTTGTTTGTTCTCTCCATATTCTACAATTATTCCAATTTGGGATTATTTTCAGAATCCCACATTTTGGCCCAAATTCAGGGTTTATTTCTCCAAAATCTGACTTTTTCAAGAAATTTGTTATTTTGTTATATCAGAATCCTGATTTTTTTCCTCAAAATTCAGTTTTTTTTTCTCAAAATCCCATATTTGTTAAAATACGCAGAGTTTGTAGAAACAGCATCAAATGTAAGGAAACAGAGAAGTGAGAAGTTCTTCCAGACATTGTATTTTTTGTTTGGCTAAAAGAGGAAGTGAATTATCGTTGATAGGAAACAGGAAGTTGAGCTGTCTGAAACCTCACTCTGTGTTTACATCTTTAAAATCAGCATTCTATTAAACAAACACAAAAACCTCAACAAATCGAACTTTGAATGAATTCATTTATTATTGTTATTATTCACTAATGTAATTATTTATTTATTGTTTCAACATTACAAATAATATTATTGCTATTTTGTTATTATTATAGTTTACATTTATTTGTATATTTATGTACTATTATTATTTTTATTATAATTTTGTTATAATAATTATAATGTGTTATTATTATTATTATTATTGTATTTATTATTATAATATGTATTACTATTATGTATTATTATCATTGTTATTATTATTATTATTATTATTATTATTATTATCATTATTATTATTATTATTATTATAATTGACATTATTTATTATTATTATTGTAATAATTGTTATTATTATTTTTATTATTCAGAATCAGAATACCTTTATTCGTAAAGTATACAAATATTAAAGATTAAAACAAATTAAGAAATTACACAATTGACACAATACACATCCTGTTACAGTTATTATGGTTGTTGTTGTTGTTGTTATTTGTGCTGCCTCTCACCCTGCAGTAGGGCGATGGAGGTGTCCTGGCTGACGTCCTGCCCCCCCCGGCTGAAGTGTCTGGAGATCTGAGCTATTTTCCCTCTGAAGTCGGTGGTCGAGGCGGTGAAAAGCTTTCCGTCTGTGCAGAGAACAACAATACGTTTAATATGACCTCAAATAAACCTTGATTTCATGAAGCATCTCTAAAACCTGCATCAGAGTCCAGAGGCCTGTACGACGAAGCTGGTTCAACCTAACCTGGATATGTTTGAGTTAGCCGGTTTACCTAATCTAAAACAAACACGCTCTCGCTAAGCTGTCCTACGACGGTGGTTATCAACTCGTTAACTCAAGCCAGGGTTTCTCCTACCGGCTGAGAGCGCGTTCAAGGGGCGGGGTTAGCAACATTCGACCAATCACAAACATGGAGAAGCGTACTGAAAGCGCAGCGTCATACTTCCTGAATGAAAAGTGAACTATAATATTAGACATATGAAGAAGTTAAACTTTAAACATCCATGACTTAAACACTTTATCCAGGATCAAAGCCACATAGCTGCACCTGCAAGGTGAATACAGCTGGTAACAGAACAAGTGTTTGAATGCGTACATTAACAGGTTTATGATATCACTGCCCCGTCTAAGACACCATCTGACTTTCATTACATTTGTCTCGAGTGTTTCCTCAACTTAATGTGTTGCTTCAAATAATCCTTCTGCAT